TCTTTGACAGTATTATTAAATATTCTATAATCTTGCTGAGTTTCTAGATTACTAAGCCTATTAAATATTCTTGTAGTATACATATCTCTTTCTATGATCGGACTCTGAATTGCATTTTGGAGCTCTTATTAAGTGCATATACATCTAACATGTTACACTTTGGAAATAACTGATTCCTTTATATTTATGACATGTTTACCTTTGGTAATATTCCAGTAGTAGACATGAAGCGTCTTGTTCTTAATACAGCTGTTTCAGCTTTGTCAGCATTGGGTTCACATGATGATTTTTCTTTCATTTATTTTTAATGTATTTTTGAATTTCTATATTGAGAATGTTTTTTCCTTATTAATCATTCTGAAAATCTGTCTTTTATACTTGAGGTAAAGTGGTACCTTGCTCAGTAGTTCACTGACTCAATTCTCTCCTCAATCTGGTTGCAAACAGACCTGGACAAGAATCGAATCAAATTTCCCCATAAGGTCAATACTAAACATAACCAGTGAAATTTGGTTCAGTTTGTGTCCAACTCAGTTTGCAACCAAAATAGTTGAAAGAATCAAATTCATGAACTGAGGTACCACTGTACTTAGCTCCTTCACATATAATTATGGTTATCAGTTACTGTCTTATCTATCCTTTCCCTGCTTTCTTCTGGATTAATTACTCTTAATACTCTACTTCATCAATGCTATTTATTTTTAGTAAAACCTGGGCTTCCCCAGGTAACTGCTCTGGAGTATACTACATGTACCATTAACGTAACAGTAATCAAACAACATTCTATTACTTCACATAAAAGGCACCAAAACCTTACAAAAGCATGCCTCCTTTCATCTATTTTTTGTTTTTAGTGCTTAGGCCGCAATTTTATTTCTACATGTTACATACTATTATCTTTGCAAAAAATTAAAAAGAAAAATCTTTCCTATTTATTTGCATATTTGCTATTTCTAGTACTCTTCATTCCGTAATGTAGATCAAGTTTCTATCTGAAATTTTTCTTCCAACCTGAAGAATTCCATCTGAACTTTCTAATAGTGCAGAACTGATGGTGATATGCCCTCTCAGCTTATTTATTTGAAAACGTACTGCTGAGCTAAAATCCCCGGCCCTTCCAGCCTTTTTTAAAACAGACTCACTAAGTTGTCCAGGCTGGGTTTGAATCCTTCTGCATCAGCCTCCCAGAATGCTGGGATTTGTAGGTATGTGCCATCACGCCCAACTATTCTCACCCTGGATTGTCACTATATAATCTTTTCTTTTTTCTTGGCTATTTCTAAGATTCTATTCTGCTTAATGTTTACCACTATTTTTTTGTAACCTGTTATAATGTTCTTTACTGTAGTTTCCTTTGTATTCACTCACCTGGTGCTTGTTTACTCACTTGGATCTGGGGAAACCTTTGCATTTATAATTTTCATCAAATATGGAAAATTTTCAGGCATTCTTTTTCATTTTTTCTACCCTTTCTTCTCTGTGACTCTAATCTGTATATTAGACTGCTTATTGTATATTACAGGCTACTGAGGCGATGTTTAATTTCTTTCTTTTTTTTCTAGCATTTTTCTCCTGTACTTTAGTTTAAATACCTACTACTTTTTTCTCTATCATATACAATTTGCTGTTATTTTTATCCTGAAAATTTATCTCAAATTGATATTTTAATATCTTAAAGTTCCACTTAGTTCTATTTTATCCCATTTATCATTATGTTCATGTTTTTAAGTACAGAAGCATATTTAAGACAGAGTTCTTAAAGCTGGCCATGGAACTGCAGGTTTGTAATCCCAAGTATAGTGAGGCTGAAGCAGGAGGATTTTAAGGCCAGGCTAAGCAACATAGTGAGAAGTCATATTAAAACAGTTCTTTGTCAAATCTGTTTCTGTCATCTCTGGGTATTTTTATTGCCTCATTTCTCTCCTAATTATATAGTACAATACATGATATTCCACATTTGATACTCCCAAATTTGTATTGGATGTTAAGATATTGTGAATGCCATTCTGCAAGGCCTAGAGTTTTGTTTTTTGAGATGTGTGTGCATGTGTATGTGGACTTGAGATATAACCTAAGGCCTTACATGTGCTGAGCAAATGCTGCATCACTGAACCATGTCCCAGCGTGCAAATGCCTGGATTTTGATGTATTCAGTAAGTGATGTTTTTTGTCTTAGCAAGTTGTAAAAAACCCTGATACTTCCAAGGCTTGTTTCTAAGTTTTGTTAGCTTTTTCATCAAGTTTCGTCCCATGCCAAGGCAAGAATTCTGTATAGTCTCCCTTGAGCACCCTGGATGCTCAGTAGGATTTTCTCTTCTTCATCTAGCTGGAACTCAGTCTCTCCCAACTACATGTGTGCTTTCCAGCCTGGCTCAGTCTCCAAGTCAGCTCAGCCTGCTAGGAACTGTATCTTACCCAGATTCAAGGAATCTTACGTGCCTCACAAGTTAGTGCTCACCACATACCTCTAAGGGATCCCCAGTGACTATTTCTTTCTTTTTTCTTTTCTTTTCTTTTTGTAGTCTGTCCTGCTACGTACATCAGGTTGCAGTCACCTCAGCTTCCCTTAATTATGATCTATTTCTTGAGCTCTATGAAACTGCTGTGTGCTCGATTTATCCCCACCCTTGCTTGTGGCACAGACAGGTATAGGGCAGAAAGCTGCAGTCACCTGACAGTCTGTACCATTACCTCCCTTCTTAAGGATCCAAGCTTCTGTGTTACCTATTATCCAATGCCTTCCAAGAGTTAGTTCATATATTTTGTCTAGTCTTCTCCTTACTTACGGTAGTATAGCCAGTCTGGTTATTTCCAGGGCTAGCAACTATGGACTTCAGTTCAGATTGTGTCTGCTACCTGTTCTGGTAAATAAAGCTTTATTACAACAGGGCTATGCCTGTTTCTGTACATGCTATCTATAACTGCCTTCCTGCTGTTAAAGTAGAATAGAACAGTTGTGCCCCAAACTGTATGGTTTACAAATCTAGGATATTTACTCTCCTACCTACTACAGAAAGAGCTTAACTCTTGTCTTATTCTAATATGGACAGAGACAGATGTCACTGCCTATTTTTGAGTAATATAAAACTAAACACTGGAATTCTATTTTCTACCAGGAACCTAAATTTATATTACTACTACAATCTTGTTACTATACTCCTTAATACATGTTGACATCCACCTTTCTGCACCAAAGATTCCACAATTTCCTTCATTTCAGGCCTGTGAATGATTAACTGTAAGAAGCAATCATTTGTCCTCATTCATGAACATCATAAACCTTTTCCAATGCTGACCCTCATTTGAGTATTTTGCAGTTACTAAGAATTAACTAAATAGTTCATCATTAAGCTCTATGGACATACTAAAATACACTATACACTATATATAGCCCAACTTCAAGGGACTTCAAGAAGTAAGTCTTAACAAAAGTGTACAGTAAGGACTGTTATTTGTTTCAAATAAATCCATTCCTATAGCTTTAGGAATTAGTAACTTTTTGATTATTTTAAAAAAAATTTTTTTGGTTCCCAAGATCAAACACAGGACATTGCTCTTGCGAGGCAGACACAGTGCTACTGAGCTAAATCCCTGAGTTAGTAACTTTTTAAATAAGAACTACAATTCTAATTCAATGAGTATTGTCAGTATCAGCTAATATCTGATAGTTACTGCAAAACTTGGAGGCTATAATCACCACAAACAATAACTCACAGACTTTTGGGGTGAGAAATTTGATTGTGGCTAAGGGTGTGGCTCTAGCTTGGGGTCTCTAAACAACAATCAAGCTTTAGAAGACTACCTAGGGCTAGAGGGCTTTTGTGGAGTGGTTTCCTCTGGCTGTGCAAGGTCCTCTCCAAGGACAGCAGGCCCTACCGCTGTGTAACTCAAGGCAGGCAGAAGCCACACACTGTGTCATTTGGGATCTACTCTTGGAAGCAATACACCTTTATTCTGCAATGTCCTACTATACAAGTAGACCCTATTCAGTGTGGAGGTGGGTGAGAACCCCAGGAGGAAGTATCCCTGGAGGCCACTTTGGATGCTAGCTGTCACAATGACTGCAAACATTCATTACCTATGATAATGAAAAACTGTCCTGAGACCTACCCATCTAGGAATCTCCATCTCGTAGTAACCTTCTTCCATGTAGCTGTATAGTGCCCCCACTCAGGTGCTGAGGCTCTGTGCCAAACTCCAACCTAGCAAGGTCATTCATCAATGTGGCTGGACAGTGCTTGCAATTTCACGATGAGGATAGGAACAAAGCACACACCATTCTTCCTGAGGACCCTTCTCACTTTTGCTGTTTTAATTAGTGACCTATGACACTAGTATCCTAAAACAGGGGTGACTCTGGTGGTGCTATGGCCCAAGTTGACCACTGTTTTATAAGTAAACCCCAATAAACTCAGCTATTTGCCAAGTTGTACTTGCCCAAGCTGTTCACTGGACTGCTCACCCCCTCCCATTTTGGAGACAGGTGTTTTTTCTGTATCTCTCCATAAAATGTACACAACACATAAAAACAAGGAAATAACCAAAGAAATGACAACAGGTATGGTGGTGCACATCTCTAATCCTAGCACTCTGTCTGGCAAGCTTATGTAGGAAGTTGAAAGTTCAACTGAGAACCTCTCTCAAAATAGAAAAAAAACAAAAATTTTTTTTAAAGGCTGGGGATAAGGCTCAGTGTGAAGGTCTTGAGTTCAATGCCTCTAGGTAAGGGGATTTTTGGAAAGATCATCTTACAGTTAGGCAAAAATGTCTAACATATGTATCTTTGAATACCTATAACAAATGTGTGTGTATAGTTTTACACAAATATATAATATGTGTGTATAGTTTTACACACATATATACTACACATATGTAATATATATTCAAATCTTGAAAAGTATTTGGTTTTGACAACAAAGAAATTTTCACTATTACAATACAGATCACAATACTATACAACACAAGTCAAAAAGGACAGAGCCTATAAATTTATTTCTTACCAACCACCATCAGCGTGAATTCAAAACCTTTTTTCACTGATTTTCGGTGAACTTGATTGGGAAGGTTTGCAAATCCAACATAGCCAGGAGTTTCTGGATTTATAAACTGAGCTGGTTGTTGCTAAAAGATTTTTAAAAAAGAAAGCTAATAAATACCGTATGTTATTTACAAGATATAATCAATTAGAACTATGACAAACACAGGTAATCAGTTCTTACAAATTTTTAAAAAATTACACAGGGTGGGGATTTAGCTCAGTGGTTCCACTGCCTGCAAGGTCCTGAGTTTGATCCCTGATACAAAAAGAAAAAAATAAAAACAAAAACAAAAACAAAAAAAGCCTACACATTAGTAAACATGGATAGTATTCAGTTTTTTTTTTGTTTTTGTTTTTTGAGACAGGGTCTCACTATGTAGTTGAGACTGCCCTCAGTGTAGTTGTAACTCACTATGTAGCCCAGGTTGGTCTCAAACTCACAGCAATCTTCCTGCCTTAGCCAACCGAATGCTGGGACTACATACATGTACCACCACACCTGGCTGGGCAGTATTCACTTAGCATTAAAAGAAGAAAAATCAATCTACTGTAATTCCTTAGCTATATACTGGCCTAAAATTAACATTTAATGAATCAATATTCTGCTTAGCAATTTGGCAATACAAACAAAACATAAGTTTAATTAATCTTCGTGCAATTTCAAATTCTGACGAGGTAAATACAGTCACAGGAAAAAGCAATCAAATTTTTAAAAAAATCAATCAAGTTCTCAATTAGTACCAAAATGACAAGTAGATTTATTTATTTAACAAGCTTAGCTAAAGAACAGCCTCTGAACAGCCTCTGACCAGGTGTTGTGCACTTATAAAAAGTATCCAGAAAAAGTTATTTTTCGTGCTACTCTCCTAGCTTTATGGGACAGACTATCACCAAAATAGCTCAAGTGATTTAGGAGTGGGATGTTGAATATCTACTGTCAAAGACCAAGAAAGAAAAGACTGAGAAAGATCACAGCTGCTAACACTGAAGCATCAATGTTTCCTGATGGAAGAATGTCTGATAAAAGATAAAGAGATGATAAAGCAAGAATAATAAAAACAAAGCTAGAATCTAGGTAAGGGCACAATGAAAATGAAAAAATTTTAATTTATCAATTAATTGAAAAAGGCACAACATAGCATGGTATTTTTTTAGGATTACAATGCTTTTGTTTGTTTTTTGATACAGGGTCTTGCTATGCAGTGCATCATGGCCTTGAACTATGTAGTGGAAACACATGTGGCCTCAAAACTAGAAAAAATTCTGCATCACTCAGCCTCTTGAGTGCTGGGATTTGAGGAATGTGCCACCACACCTGGCTAGGATTACATTTGTGAAAGTACATATACTCATAAGGTAAAAATAGTGAGGCTTGGTGGTACATGCCTAAAATCCCAGAATTCTAAGAGCCTGAGGCTGGAGAGTCTCAAATTCAAGCCCTACCTGGGCAACTTAGCAAGACTTTCTCTCAAAAAAATAAGAAAAAGAATATATACAAAATGTTAACTGTTTTGGGGTGGTGTGATAAATGCTAATTTTGTTTTGCTTATTTGTTTTCTACATTAACACTTGTAAAAAAGTAAAAACTAGTATGATGATTTTTTTTCCCATAGACTCAAAAATAAAGGCAGCAAGAAATTACCTTCCACTTTTAACAACTAATTCCACTTTTCTCAGCATATGTGCTTTAAGAAGCAATTTATCTCAGGGCTCTGGGCCAATTTATAAGGGCAACCCAAACCAATTTATCAAGTTTAAGAGGCTCCATCAATTTCATTATGATAAATTACTAGAATTTTTAATTATGTGACTGGTCTGCTGGGAATGGCCAAAGGAGGCTTAACTGGATTATTATTGACATATTTAGGAAAAAAGAAAATTAAAAAGAGCTCAAAATTTTTAGAATGACAAATCACAACTTTGAATGAATCAAATGCATAAATCCTGACTATAAACAGTCTGAACACTCACCAGGCATGGTAGTGCACACCTGCAATCCCAGCACTCAGAAGGTAGAGCCAGGAGGATCACCAAAAATTCAAGACCAGCCTGAACTGCAGAGTGAGCTCAAGGCCAGCCTGAACTGCATAGTGAGACCCTGACTCAAAAACAAAAGAAAACAAAACAAAAAAAAGTCTGAAAACATAAAGCCGTTTCTCTTTATACTATAGATAAATGATGAAGTGTGATCTTACCTTAGACATCTTTCGTGTTGTTTTCTCTATCTGTTAAAAAAACAAAACAAAACCCAAATGTCTGTATGTGCATCACATGCACATTTTACAGCATGAACAGCCTGCAAAGACTCACACATAGGGCACCTGCTGATGCATGTCCCATTTAGCGCATCTCAAACACCACTCAGAAATGATAAAACAACCATTTCTCATCATCAAGATAAGTTAGGGTTCAAAACTCAAAGTTGATGAAAGCACTAATACATGCTGCATATTTTCAATATTTACATTTTTCCAGTAGTAATTATGGGCTAAGCACTAAGGATGCAACAAGACAAAAAGACAAACTCTCAGCCTCTGGAAGTAGGTAATTTCTCTTCACTCTTCAAAACCTTTCAAAGAGGCAGGGATGCCCCTAACACAGCACTATATCTTGAACACAGCTGCCATCCGCTGGAAGTTTCTGGACCATCCTAAGACCTGACACTGGGGTGCAGGGCACAATGAGAACTGTATTTACAAGTTGAAGGACTAATGGGACTTGAGTGTTTGAGAAGTGTGACAATAGTTTCTGAGTTAATATGGAATTTTTATGCAAATAGAACAATTAAAAACTTCCAGAAACACAAAGTTTGTTGGCTAAACTTCAGTGGCAAGATCAAGAGCTGTGACTACAGTCAAATTTGATTCTCTCTGGAGAGCAGAAACTTAGCAAAAAGCTTCTTTCACTTTGTTGTTTTCCTTTTTTACCAACCCTTATCATTCCTGAACATTGCACATCCCCTGATCCCCTTTGGAATGGAAATGTTCCCAAGCATCTTGGGAGAAATGAGGTCTTCATACTCCAAAGCATTTGACCTGGTTAGCCAAAGTAAGACAGCAACAGGGGATTCATAAGCTTTTAACTCTACAATATTACATCTCATAGCAGACTTAGATTATAGTTTCATTTCTTTTTGTGACCCACTACAAGCTCTGATCTTAAAAATATAGGAAAGCTATTTAAAGTTAACATCAACAATTCCCACAGGAGAAAAAGGAATAGATGCAGGAAAATAACAACAAAATTTTCCCAAAAAGAATAAAGAATAGAGTCTATACATTAATGAGCTGTCTAGGATTGTGTATTAGAGGAGTGAATTTAGGTCTCTTGAATAGAAAGGACATTCTAGAAAAATTGTATTAATAGACTTAAATTAAAAATAAAAACTACCTAAGTAAATAAAACCTAACAATTGGGGGCCGGAGAAGGATCACAAAAAAGCAAAGTATTTTTTCCCCAGTACTAGGGATTGAACCCAGGGCTTTATGCATGTTAAGCAAAGCCCCTTCTATAAATTTTGAGATAGGGTTTCCCTAAATAACCCAGGCTAGCCTTCAGCTTGCAATCCTACTAAGTAGCTCAGATTAAAGGTGTGTGTTATCACAGCCTGCTAAGAAGTAAAACTTTCTAAAGGAAGAGGAAAGAAATCAGGTGGACTATGGGTAAAATACAATGAAAAATACAAGATTATATTAACACAATTCAAAGGAGGAAACAAACTCTTTCTAGAATTGGACAGACTCAGTAAATACAATGAGCAAGGGCACAAGAGGGACTGAGCAATATAGCCAATAAATCTGACTTCACAGATATAGAGAACCATGATTCAATAGAATAAATAAAAACAAAAATTTAGTGCAGAAGACTGAACCCAGAGCCTCACTGTAGGTGGGGAGTTTTTTTGTTTGTTTGAGGCAGGGTCTCTTTATGTATTTCAGGCTACCCTTGAACTCACTATGTACCTGCAGTGGCCTCAAACTCTTGGCCACCCTTCTGTCTCAGCCTCTGGTGTGCTGGGATTACAGGGATGTGCCACCATGCCAGACTTTATTGTTGCCATTTTTAGATAGTGTCATGCTATGTTACTCAGGTTGGTCCTGAACTTGAGCTCAAATGATCCTCCTACCACTGTAGCCTCCCATGTAGCATGTCTAGCTAAATTTTTTAAAAAATTGTTCATCTACCATTTTTTAAAAAAGTCTAGCTAGGCATAGTGACATACTTTTAATGCTAGCTACTCAGGAGGCTGAGGCAGGAACATCACATGTTTGAGGCCAGCTTGGACAATTTAGTAAGACTTTATTTCATAGTAAAAATTTACAAAGTGCTGAGAATGTAGCTCAGTGGTAAAGCACTTGCTTAGCACATTTGAGGCCCTGGGTTCAATCTCCTACACTACTAAAAAAAGTCAATTTTAAGTATTTTTTTTATAATTGATAATCTCAAATCACAACCTGTTTTTACTAGAAAGGTAAAGGTAAAGAAGGGTTCAAAAACAAAACTATAAGCTGTCTCTACAAAGCAATGGAGCAAAATTTATGGGACACAGTAAAATACTATCCAGAAATGAAGATAATAAATCAAAAGAAAACATGAAGAAAAAATTAATAAAGAGAAAAACTGAAATTATGAGAAAAAATACAAGGGTAAATAAATCCAAAAGCTGATTCTCTGAAACAAATTCCTCACAAGCCCAATTAAGGAAAAGAGCAAACACAGAACACAAGACATAATCACAGACTCAAGAGAGTAAACAGAGTAAACACAGTCAGATGGTCAAATCAAAAATGTGGAAGACGGGCCGGTGATTTAGCTCAGTGGTTCTGCCATCTGCCTTGCAAGCACAATGCCCAGTGCCAAAAAAAAAAAAAAACCCAAAAAACAAAAAACAAAAAACAGGGACATAGACCAGAAGGATTCCATGTAACCCTGAACAGATGATGAAAGGATCATTTAACTATTTCAAGCCACTGAAAACAAAGAAGGCATCATTCCAGTTTATCTTATGAAGACAGTACAGTTTTAATAAGAAATCTAGATGGCAAATGAAGGAAGGAAGGAGAAAGGAAAAAAATTCCTTCAGTACGGAATAAAGGGCCAGTAAGTCAATTTCACTGATAAAGGCAAAAATTCTAATAAAATATTTTCTAGCAACCAGAAATTTATTATAAAGATTTGTCAATATAAACCATTAAAACAATAAATTAAAAGAGAAAAACATGCTTAAGTAGGTGCTGTTGATGAGGTACATAAAAAATTCAGCGACCAACACTAAACTGCTTAAATACAACTGGAATGCTAAACCTATTTAAATTATAATTAGTAATTAGGCAGGAATGTCCATTAGATCATAATTATTTTAAAGCACTTATGAAAATTGCTAAAAACATAAAGTGCAACAAAAGCCTATGTACCACCCATTATCAAGTTTCAACAGCTAGAAACTCAAGACCAGTAAAAGTTCATCTATACAGCACTTACTTCTCCTACCCTTGAGCTACTGAGAAGCAAAAAATGGGATACATTTCATTCATGCTTCAGTATGCATACCTAAAAATAAGTGTTCCTAAAAATGACAATGGTCAGGGATTTAGCTCAGTGGTTCTGGTGCCTGCCTCCCAAGAGCATGGGCCCGGGGTTTAATAAAATCTATACAAATAAAATAAAATCTAGACACTACAATTTCACCATGGTTATTTAATACTACCTTAATTCAGTGAATGCAATGAAGAAAAAAACTTTTTTTATGTTAAAACTGAATACACAGAAAAGACAAATACTTCCGTTTTAAAAATAATAATAAACAGGCTGGGGATTTAGCTCAGTGGTTCCGGCGCCTGCCTCACAAGTGCAAGGGCCTGAGTTCGATCCCTGTACCAAAAATAAATAAATAAATAAAAATAATAAACAATTCTAGCCAAGCACTGCAGTTCATGACTATCATGGCACTCTCCAAGGCTGAGGCAAAAGAATCACAAGTTTGAGCTCAGCCTGGCAACTTAGTGAGACAAAACTGAGATGCAGCTCAGTGCAAAAGCTCTCTCAATTCAATTCCCAGGAATGAAAGAGGAAAACAAAAACCTCAAAACCTACAAACACACAAACAAATAAACTCATCCAGGCATGGCAGCCAGTCTGTATCCCCAGCTACTTGGGAGGATAATGAGAGAACCACTTGAGCACAGGAGTTGGGAGGCCAGCCCAGAGGAACAGTAACTTTGTCTCAAAAAAAAAGAAATTTTAGGATAAAGTCTATATACAAAAAAGAAAAAAGGTTTTGGTGGTATGGGGGCACACATATGTAATCTCAGCACTCTATGAGGCTGAGGAAGGAAGATTCCAAGTTTGAGCCAAACCTGGGCAATTTAGGGAGACTCTGCTTCGGGAAAAAAAAAAAGATTTGGAGAGTAGCTCAGAGTAATGGCCTTGTGTTCAATCCCCACTAACACCAAAAAAAAAAAAAAAAAAAAAAAAAAAAAAAAAAAAAAAAAAGATTT